AAAAAAAAAAAAAAAAAAATAGCCTTAAAAAAAAGAAAAAAGAAAAGAAAGAATCAGAAGTAGATTTTGTGTCACTTACTGTGTTTTGCGGTACCTATGTTTTAAAATACCTATGCTGGTGAGCATGTGGTGTCAAAAGATCATAATTTTAAATAGCAGTATTCCTTCTGTAAATAAATAGAAATAATTACAAGACAAATATAATCAATGTACACCCAATAATGGTGTTCACAGAGAAGGTAGAATTGTGGCACCCAAAGATAGAAGCCATTGGAGATTGACTCAAGGAACCCCCCAGATATGTGAGCCAATCCAGAATTCACCTGTATTAAAGCCACAATAGCAAAACATATAAGGACTGCTGATGAACTCAAAGTAATTTTGTCTGTGATTTGTTTGCTGACCTTGAGGATGCTCTGTAGGGTCAACCTGGCACATGGACCAAGTTACTCTCTACACTATTAATAGTCAAATTGAAACATGTGATGTATACCTTTTCTCTTAGAATATCACTGATTCTACTACAGTGATGTACTATTTTCACTTGCCTTGGTTTATTTGCTGTGCATTACTGTACCTACTCTCTTTTCACCAAGTTCATTTGCTTTTCTGAGTAGGGTATATTGACAGGAACATCTGTCAATGTTAGTTCAAATGGTAGGTGGGCTTTAGTGCAGAATCTGAAATGTATTAGGAAAGATAATGGAAAAAAAGATCAGCAGGGGTATAGAGAGAAAAAAGCGGTGAGGCTCAATTTCCACTGGTTCAAACCCAGATACTCCAGTCAAACCAGAAATGCCCTGAGGGCTTGTTCAGGCCTCAAAAAAAAAAAAAAAAAGAAGTATAGAGAGAAAGGAAAAAGAAGAGACATATTTATTCTGTTTTAAGAAATCTTTTTGATAAAAGATAAAAGGTATGTGAGATTTTTAATTTTCTGCATGTTATTTCATTTGTGGAAGTAACAAACTTAATAAAAATCATAGAAATATTACTTTCTAATCCTTAGAAAAACATGATTAAAAAAATCAGGGATTCATAAGCTCAAGGAAAGACAAACCTCACCCCTGTTTCTGTGCACAATCTCACTACTGACTACAGGAAATTATCGTAGAGGTGCTGGCTGTTAGCAGTAGGATCTGATTTTTCCACAGGACACACAGGACCTTTTTTTATTTCATCTTTGCTTAATGAGCACATGGGCTCCAGAGAGATGCAAACTATTTTGGCATTCTGCCTACAACTTATGTCACAGCAACAAGGAACAAGGTGTCAGCACTGATGGTATTCACATGAGCAGCTTCATAGCTCATTCATTTCTGCCATGCCTTCCCCTCACCCAGGGTTACACAGCTACAAGGGACAATGCACCCTTTGGACCATTTGTGCTTTATGAATTGTAAATCCAAGGAGAGAGAGACAGCTTGACTGAACCCAAATTATGTCGCAATAGATGGTAATGAATGTCCTGCTTTAGCAGGATAATAGAAGCCCTGTTTATTGGCAGGCATTCAGCCACTATCTCTCTCATCCACTTTTTCTCTTGGCCTTGACCCTAATCCAGCAATTGCGCATCCCCAGCTGCTCTTTAAGCTGCCTCATTAGCAGCGCACCATTGGGCAGCTCCCATGACAGCCATCCAATGGGAGGGAAGTGACACGCGCCAGAGCCTGTAGCGGATTGGCAGGTGCAGCGATGCAGTGGGGGACAGGGTTATGTGAAGACGGCGTCTAAGAGCTTTGCAAAGGGCTGAGCAGTCGAGGAATTTTAGGCACATATTAGCTTTACTGTCCAGCTTGTTGGTTTCTTAAGATTCAGAAAATTAACGCTTTGAGACTACAACAGTATCTACATGTTGTAAAGAATACAATTGGCCATATGGTACTAAATGTAAATTTCATAAAATGTTTAAAACAATTCTGTTCACAGTGGAAAATTAATATGTAGCTACAGTTCAAATCCCACTGATATTTTCATAAGATTCTTCACATAGTTTAAAACTGTGACTTAGAAATATTTGGTTTGGGGGCTTATTTTGGCAAGGAAACACACCTATATGTCAAGATACCAAATGAGTCTGCTACTTCTTTCCTGTCATAAATCATGTGTGCATTTTCATAAGTTTAAGAAGAACTTGAATTAGTAGTTATAATTTAATGTTTTGCTCTTTAAAACACAACTCAGAATACCTTCTTCATTCCTTCACATTAACTCTGTACCACTGAATTTATTTGAGTTATTTCAGTAACTCCTACAATCATCCTAAATTAGTATTCATTTGATAAACATAAGATGAATAATTTTAATCATTTTATTTATGTTCATTACTTTTATCATTGTCAAAATTCATAGACCAAGGGAATTACTCTCTCCAGGTTCATAAAAGATATCTGTCATGCCTTGTAACACGCTCACTTTCAAATAATTGAATGTTTTAGAGGCATTGCTATTTTTATTCACCTAGTAATTTTTCAGCACCTGCACTGAGCTAGGCAGCATTCCTAAAGGCACAGAAGTATAAACATGAGTCCAGTGGTGCACCAGTTCTCAAAAAGTTTACTGTCTAGTAGAAAGTCAATATATTTTGGATCATACAATAGGGTGTGATGAATATGATAGAATGAAATGAGTGCGACCATAGGAGGATACTTAAAGAAGGTATATCAGGTACCTTTGGCATGGTCAGAAATGCTTCACCAGGAATGCCTACTTACAACAAGTCTTGGGGCATAAATACATGCACAGGAGTTAGTAATGTTAAAGTAAGCTAGGAGAACAAGTGTTTCAGGCAAAGAGAGAGCCACACTGAAAGGCCCTTAAATACATCTGGTATATGCCTTACTAAATGTTTTGACTGTAATAAACAGATGTCATAAAGCCAGCTTAAGTAAAAAAGTCAGTGGAGAGAGGACAAAGAAGCAAACAAAATGAAGTCCATAGAAACCCAAGTACAGGAAACCTCCAGTGCCCAGATCTCATTGACTGCGGAACAGGGACCATCACACCGTCACACCTGACCGCTGTCAGTGCCTGAGACCCAGGGGCAGAAGGAGGTAACAGTTTGATCAGATGTTCTGCAATAATTTAACACAAATATGTCCCCATTGTTCTCTAGCTGATCAATTCTCTTCTTTATGCATGATTCTTTGCATATGTCATTCAAGAGTAGGAGCAATTTGTTTCAGTAAAACCAAAACTTTAGGTGCAGGCTGCAGAGTTAACCCTGTCATGTATTTGTTAGCTTCCCTGAATCAGGTGACATTCCTGGCTCACATGAACTATGGTCAGTAAGAAGGTAGAGGAAGTAGGGAAGACACAGTGGGTGTCACTCAGCGTCTGGCTGTGTGGACTTTCAGCCTCTACCACATCTGTGGGAAGAACAGTGTCTTTCATATGGACTGTCAGATTACAAATAAGGTACTGGTATCAGAGTTCTGATAGTAAAGTTCATAAGTAAGTGTTATGGCATGTTGAATTGAAGCAAAATTTACATTGCTAAAAGTTAAAATTCTATTAGTTGCCTGTATTACAAAGTATCCTACCACTTTGATGACAAAATAAATGAATTTTTCTTATAATAACTGTATATTAGATTTTTAAAATATTACTTTATTACTAGATACAACATATCTTTCAGTCTAATCTTATGCACCAAATTATTCTTTCTAGCTCAACTTTCACCTAATTATTTATAATCTTCTTTTACTATTCCTTGTATTGACTCTATCTTCCTATTTGTAAATTTACCATTTATTATGTGTTCAATCACTTCATTTTACTTTAATTCTTTTTTTGTGTGTTCATATAGTTTTCTACATCCAATAATTCTC